AGGTATTAAACTGATAAAAATAGTACTAAACACTCCACTCCTATCTGGTGTCACATTAGCTTGACCGCAGTGCCCCAAATTTGCAGTAAGAGGACCGACCAAGCCTCTTCTTCCATCTCCCTGTTACAAAAATCAATGCCGTGTACACGACCACTGATAGGAGACGCGGAAGGTATTAAACTGATCAGAACAATACCAAAAACACGACGCCTATCTGGTGGCACATTAGCTTCTGACCACAAGTAGTGCCCCCAAATTTGAATTAAGAGGACCGCATCAAGCATCTTCTTCCATCTCCCTGTTACAGAAATCACTGCCATATCCATACAAATTGTACAGAATGTCCAGGATAGTTTTCCAGGGACAAATGTTAAGTCTGTTGAACGAGGTGACCTTGCTCGGGTCCTGCGGTGTACGTTCCTAAATGCTGCTATATACACGCCCACTGATAGGAGACGCTGAAGGTATTAAACTGATCAGAACAATACTAAACACACCACTAATAAGGTTTCCTCTCCTCCTGTATGGCTCCTCAAAATGATGCTTAAGATTAGAAGCGTAAGGAAAAGCATTTCTCACACAGGTATTAACCAGATAAAATAGTACTAAACACTCCACTCCTATCTGGTGTCACATTAGCTTGACCGCTAAGTAGTGCCCCAAATTTGCAGTAAGAGGACCGACTAAGCCTCTTCTTCCATCTCCCTGTTACAAAAATCAATGCCGTGTACACGACCACTGATAGGAGACGCGGAAGGTATTAAACTGATCAGAACAATACTAAAAACACCACTCCTATCTGGTGTCACATTAGCTTGACCGCGCAGTGCCCCAAATTTGCAGTAAGAGGACCCGACCAAGCCTCTTCTTCCATCTCCCTGTTACAAAAATCAATGCCAGGTACACGTCCACTGATAGGAGACGCGGAAGGGATGAAACTGATAAAAATAGTACTAAACACACCACTCCTATCTGGTGTCACATTAGCTTGACCGCGCAGTGCCCCAAATTTGCAGTAAGAGGACCGACTAAGCCTCTTCTTCCATCTCCCTGTTACAAAAATCAATGCCGTGTACACGACCACTGATAGGAGACGTGGAAGGTATTAAACTGATCAGAACAATACTAAACACACCACTCCTATCTGGTGGCACATTAGCTTGACCGCGCAGTGCCCCAAATTTGAATTAAGAGGACCGACCAAGCATCTTCTTCCATCTCCCTGTTACAGAAATCACTGCCATATCCATACAAATTGTACAGAATGTCCAGGATAGTTTTCCAGGGACAAATGTTGTCGCCTGTTGAACGAGGTGACCTTGCTCGGGTCCCAGGTGTACGGTTCCTAAAATGGCTGCCATATACACGTCCACTGATAGGAGACGCGGAAGGTATTAAACTGATCAGAACAATACTAAACACACCACAAATAAGGTTTCTCTCCTGTATGGCTCCTCAAATGATGCTTAAGATTAGAAGCGGCTGAAAAGCATTTCTCACACTCAGAACAAAAATATTTTTTTTTAACATTCTCTCCACTTTGAACGAAATGACGTTTGGGAAGAGATTAACATAATTAAACACAGGCAGTAAAAATACAGTTTTTAGCCATACCCTGTAACTTTAAAACTACACATCCCATCTTCATAATTACATATTTGGAATCAGCACACTTAAAACATAAACATAACCAAAAATCAGCCAAATCCATCCAGGGGTTAAAAAGTTAGCTGGAGGTCCCTTTATGACCGACCGCAAGCACATTTTCCTGCCCAAAACAGTTCCATAGATTTGGGCTGTGAGGTCGGTCTATTTCAGGCTGAAAAAACGACTAAGTCCCATCGCGAATGGGACTTAGTCTCTGCAGCTGAAATAAGGCTGAAAAAAACGGCTGAAAAAAAGACTAAGTCCCATCGCCGAATGGGACTTAGTCTCTGCAGCTGAAATAATTTCCCATTTACTGAACCAAGTGGGAAATAGCAAGGCAGGCACAAAGGGTTTGCACCAGGTCTGGGGACACAGGGGACACCGTCTTAAAGGGGCCGTGTCCCCAACAAGTCTGGGGACACGGCCTTAAAGGGGCAGTGTCCCAATCTTCCTGATGTCCCAAAAAAGGTGTTTAAAGGGCCAGCACCAGTCACATAAAGAGTCCATAAGCCCCAATATGCCCACCGACAGTCTTAAAGGGCCATACACACCAAATAAAAGTGCATACATTTTCACAATCTCCCAGGGGCCATAGTCATGCGGGAGGAGGCTGGCAAAGAGGCTTCTCCACAACCCAGGGAAACAGGGCAATTTGCCATTTAAAGGGCCCGTTACAAATAGCAGTTTGTAACAAGGTGTCAATCCATATCTGCCAAGTGACCCGATGTAGGGGGAACAGTCCCTATTCTGCTCTGTGTCAGTGTGTATCAGGGATCCTTAGGACAGGTGTCAATCCATATCTGCCAAGTGACCCTATGTAGGGGACCAGTCTCTATTCTGCTCTGTGTCCGTGTGCATCAGGGGCTCTGAGGACAGGTGTCAATCCATATGTCAAGGTGTCAATATATGTCAGGTGTCAATCCATATTGATTGTGATTTAGGAATGTTAGGTGATTTCTGCCCTTTATGGATTAAAACCAGACTCTGTATCAACTGTGTAATTTTCCATGGGAGTTTTGCCATGGATCCCCCTCCGGCATGCCACAGTCCAGGTGTTAGTCCCCTTGAAACAACTTTTCCATCCCTATTGTGGCCAGAAAGAGTCCCTGTGTGTTTTAAAATTCGCCTCCCCATTGAAGTCAATGGCGTTTCGGGCGGTTCGCCGGTTCGCGAACATTTGCGGAAGTTCGCGTTCGCCGTTCGCGAACCGAAAATTTCGGGTTCGCGACATCACTATTTGTTACATGTTCTATTCTATAGAGACTAATGTTAATGGTTTAAGCTGACCACCAAAAAAAGGGGTGAAAAAAAAGAGAGAAGAATGAATGTACTCCTCAACATGTTGTTTATAAATGGCGGCCTGCGTGCCACGACAAATGATGTACACTTTCTCAATAAAAGCAGATTTACAAAAAAAAAATGACAAAGAATATTGTTTCAAAAAATAGTACATTCACATCAATTAGTAGACGCTTTGTGCATGGTCAATCAGTTTAAAAGGGATTATTCTTATTATTCCGATACTGCCAATAGTTACTCAAGACTGGATATGTTTATGATTTTGAATAGACACCTTCATTTTATACAAAAAGTTACATCACTTGGATCATGCCCCAGTTTTCCTAAATCTTAAACTACCTGGGCTAAATAGCCCCAAATCATTTTGGCGATTGAATGAATCATTATTGAATGATCCAACTGTGGAGGAGGAAGTAAAGAAAACTCTGGATGCATATTCTAAAGATAATACACAATTGGATACCTCCATCCCATGGATTTGCATTATTAGAGGAGTATTGATTAAATGGGGGTCACAGATTAAAAAAGAACTCAATTCTAGAGTGGCCTCCATTTCCCAACAAATAAATGTAGCAGAATTGGCTCAACCCCGTCAATGAGACTTACAAGCACTTAGTTGCTCTCCGTATGGCGTTGAAAAACATACTTAACAATTGACGCAGGGCACATTTTATTTTTATGGCAATAAGTGTGGAAAAACACTGGCGAGGGCTTTAAAAAATAGATATCAAAATTCATATATAGAAAAAAATCATAGATGATACAGGGAAGCAACATATAACAGATGCAATAGCAGATGCTCTTCTATAGTTTTATAGTATCAAAAAATATACAATCTTCCTAGTCCACCAAGTTGTAAGGACTCCATGTATGAATATATAAATTCCAATTTGTCTCTGAAAATATCGATCGATCAGACTAATTGTTTAGAGACTCCCTTAACAACAGAGGAATTTGAAAGGTTAGTTAAAACCATGCTACAAGGGAAAAGTCCAGGTCCTGATGATCTTACAGTATATTATTATAAAACGTACTAAACAGTTATATATGAGAATATATCTATGTGAGCAACAGAGGACGGCTACCACCTGATAAAC